AGATAATGACTTCAGTCAATGGATTCACAACTGGAGATGAGTCCAATGACCTTCAAAAACGAACAGCTGCTCTTAGCATGATTAAGGAAAACTATCCCGAACAGTTATGGATACATGTCTTCATGGATAGATCAGCATCCAGTGCGGTTAAAAATAGGGTTGCTGGAGTCTTTACCCAGGCAACCACCGCCACACAAAGTGGGTACCCACTGGTAAATTGTGTTACAGCTACACAGCAGAAATCGTAGCACTAGAGCAGGCTACCGAAATGTTACACAAAACCAGTTCTGACTGCGACCAAGTGGTCATATTCACAGATGCGCTATTGGTGCTTCAAGCCCTCAAGAGTGGCAAACTCACTCACTTGAGATCTGAACCTGGCAAGGTGGCTGCCCACAAGTGTACTGTACTCCAGTAGGTGCCATCCCACTGTGGTATACCAGGAAATGAAACAGCAGATAAACTTGCTAAGAAAGGGGCAGAATGTGACCAGGAAGAGAATGTAGTAACATACCATGAGAAGAAAAGGGCCACCCAGTTTATCAGAAATGAACAGAGTCTGGTCAGAGATGACTACCACCTACTTGACCGGCATGAGCAGGTCATTGTCCTATGTCTCAGGATAGGACATAACAAACTTAACCAGCATATGCACAGGCTTCATTAAAGTAGTTCACCTTTGTGCCCTTGTGGGCTATGTGTGCAGACTACAGAACATGTCCTGCAAGAATGTTCCTTGTTCAGCCCATTAAGAAAGGAATACTGGCCCAGTGAGTCAATATTGCATGCAAGGTTGTATGGGACTAAAAAGGAACTTTTATAAACAGTCAAGTTTATCACAAGAACCTGTCGGTGTAAATCAGGAAGCGAACACAAGAAGAAAACATACTGTCTTGTACAGACAACTGGTGTAAAGCAATACATACTGTCTTTGAACAAAGAAGACACAAACAACAGATTACACAATTGATTGCCTGACATATTTCGCTGTATCTCGTCAGGTGCATACTACAGTAACAATTACATAAATGAAGCAAATAAGTGAATCCTTTATAACTTAAGTACAATTTCAACAACAATCAAACATGACTGCCTGTTTTTACCAGGGCAGATATAAAGACAGAACCATCTTTTTCTGAATACCTTCAAGAAACCGCAACCGTCAGTCCTGCACTGTGATTTTGCACTTCAGTTTAAACAATCCATCCAGAAGCTTCACGTTGACTGTGGGAGGTGACATTTCATTAAATCAAAGCAATGTTTCCCGGTTGTAAATTTGGAGTGAAGCGTCTGGATGGATTGTTTAAACTGAAGTGCAAAATCTGTCTTGTATTACATACAGGCAGTTAGCGGGAATCAATACATACTGTCTTGTATAGGCAGTTAGTTAGCAGGTATCAACACATACTGTCTTGTACAGGCAGTTAGCAGAAATCAACACATACTGTCTTGTACAGGCAGTTAGCGGAAATCAACACATACTGTCTAGTACAGGCAGTTAGCAGAAATCAACACATACTGTCTTGTACAGGCAGATAGCGGAATCAACACATACTGTCTTGTACAGAGAGTTAGCGGGAATCAACACATTCTGTCTTGTACAGGCAGTTAGCTGGAATCAACACATTCTGTCTTGTACAGGCAGTTAGCAGAAATCAACACATACTGTCTTGTACAGACAGATAGCGGGAATCAACACATACTGTCTTGTACAGGCAGTTAGTGGGAATCAACACATACTGTCTTGTACAGGCAGTTAGCGGGAATCAACACATTCTGTCTTGTACAGGCAGTTAGCGGGAATCAACACATTCTGTCTTGTACAGGGAGTTAGCGGGAATCAACACATTCTGTCTTGTACAGGCAGTTAGCTGGAATCAACACATACTGTCTTGTACAGGCAGTTAGCGGGAATCAACACATTCTGTCTTGTACAGGGAGTTAGCGGGAATCAACACATTCTGTCTTGTACAGGGAGTTAGCGGGAATCAACACATTCTGTCTTGTACAGGCAGTTAGCTGGAATCAACACATACTGTCTTGTACAGGCAGTTAGCTGGAATCAACACATACTGTCTTGTACAGGCAGTTAGCGGGAATCAACACATTTTGTCTTGTACAGGCAATTAGCGGGAATCAACACATACTGTCTTGTACAGGCAGTTAGTGGGAATCAACACATACTGTCTTGTACAGGCAGTTAGCGGGAATCAACACATACTGTCTTGTACAGGCAGTTAGCGGGAATCAACACATACTGTCTTGTACAGGCAGTTAGCGGGAATCAACACATACTGTCTTGTACAGGCAGTTAACAGGTATCAACACATACTGTCTTCTACAGGCAGTTAGCGGGAATCAACACACTCTGTCTTGTACAGGCAGTTAGCGGGAATCAACACATACTGTCTTCTACAGGCAGTTAGCGGGAATCAACACACTCTGTCTTGTACAGGCAGTTAGCGGGAATCAACACATACTGTCTTCTACAGGCAGTTAGCGGGAATCAACACATACTGTCTTCTACAGGCAGTTAGCGGGAATCAAAACATACTGTCATATATGGACCAACTGTTGTCAGAAACACACAGGTGTAATAAAAACTATCAGAACTGGCACTGACCTGAGATGTGTTCTGTCACAACACACACCTATTATGTAAACTGTCAGATATAACAACTAACTACTATGTAAATGTCAAATACTGACAACAAAGAACAACTGACAGTCTGCTTGTAATAACACATGGTTTTTGGTAATAATGAACTAACAAACTGGATAATATGACAACACAAAACAACCTACTTACAGTCTAGAACAGACAACAAGGAACTATTTACTTATAGTCTAGCAGTGAAACACAGAACTGATAAAACTACTTACAGTCTAGCACTGATAAAACTACTTACAGTCTAGCACTGATAAAACTACTTACAGTCTAGCACTGATAAAACTACTTACAGTCTAGCACTGACAACACAGAACTACTTACAGTCTAGCACTGACAACACAGAACTACTTACAGTCTAGCACTGACAACACAGAACTACTTACAGTCTAGCACTGACAACAAAGAACTACTTACAGTCTAGCACCGATAAAACTACTTACAGTCTAGCACTGACAACACAGAACTACTTACAGTCTAGCACTGACAACACAGAACTACTTACAGTCTAGCACTGACAACACAGAACTACTTACAGTCTAGCACTGACAACACAGAACTACTTACAGTCTAGCACTGACAACACAGAACTACTTACAGTCTAGCACTGACAACAAAGAACTACTTACAGTCTAGCACTGACAACACAGAACTACTTACAGTCTAGCACTGACAACACAGAACTACTTACAGTCTAGCACTGACAACACAGAACTACTTACAGTCTAGCACTGACAACACAGAACTACTTACATTCTAGCACTGACAACACAGAACTACTTACAGTCTAGCACTGACAACACAGAACTACTTACAGTCTAGCACTGACAACAAAGAACTACTTACAGTCTAGCACTGACAACAAAGAACTACTTACAGTCTAGCACCGATAAAACTACTTACAGTCTAGCACTGACAACACAGAACTACTTACAGTCTAGCACTGACAACACAGAACTACTTACAGTCTAGCACTGACAACACAGAACTATTCACAGTCTTGCACTGACAACATAGAAAAAACAAGAACAGATCCTCTGCCCCTCCAACACTATCTCGTCACAGACTAGAACAGCAGAAAATGAACACATTATCTCATCACAGACTAGAACAGCAGAAAATGAACACATTATCTCATCACAGACTAGAACAGCAGAAAATGAACACATTATCTCATCAAAGACTAGAACAGCAGAAAATGAACACATGATCTCATCACAGACTAGAACGGCAGATTACGAACATTATCTTGTCAGACTAGCAGAACAGCGCAACATGGACATTAGCCAACACAGACTACTGACTAGAACAATTGCCGAACATGGATACTACCTCACCACAGACTGCAAGAATGGCTAAACGGTCACATTACCTCATCAGTGACTAGATCAATGGCTTAACATGGACATAACCTCAGGTCAGGCTAGAAAAATGGCTGAAGTAACATTATCTTACCACAGACTAGAACAATAGAAAATGGACATTATTTCACCATAATTAGATAAGAACAATGCAGCATAGACATAACCCCACCAGACTAGAACAATGATGAACATGGACATTACCTAACCACAGACTAGAACAATCCAACATGGACATTATCTCACCAGACTAGAACAAAGGTGAACATGGACATTACCTAACAACAGACTAGAACAATGGTGAACATGGAGATTACCTAACCACAGACTAGAACAATGGTGAACATGGAGATTACCTAACCACAGACTTGAACAATGGTGAACATGGACATTATCTTACCACAGACTAGAACAATCCAACATGGACATTACCTCACCAGACTAGAACAATGGTAAACATGGAGATTACCTAACCAGACTTGAACAATGGTGAACATGGACATTACCTAACCAGACTTGAACAATGGTGAACATGGACATTACCTAACCACAGATGAACAATGCAGCATGGAGATTACCTTACCAGACTAGAACAATGATGAACATGGACATTACCTAACCACAGACTAGAACAATCCAACATAGACATTACCTAACCACAGACTAGAACAATGGTGAACATAGACATTACCTAACCACAGACTAGAACAATGGTGAACATGGACATTATCTTACCCCAGACGAACAATGCAACATGGACATTACCTTACTAGACTAGAACAATGGTGAACATGGACATTACCTCACCAGTGTCTAGAACAATCGACAGACTAGAACAATCAATGTAACACGGACATAACACCACCTGACTAAAATAATGCTGAACATGGATATAACCTAACCACAGACTAGAACAAAGCAACATAGACATTACCTCGCCACAGACTAGAAAAAAGCAACATAGACATTACCTCGCCAGTATAGCTGTATTTTGCCTTGATGATCATTCTGTACAATCTCGTCCTATTGTCATCATCGAATGGCATAGTCCCACTTAAAAGAATGTATGTTATCACACCTATTGCCCATAGGTCCACCTGGCTAGTGTATGGCTTTCGTGCTAATATCTCCGGAGCAATATACTCTGGAGTACCACAAGTGGTCCTCATAAGATTGTCTGGGCCCTTGAGCATGGCGCTCAACCCGAAATCCGTGATCATGATTTTGGAGTCATGACCTGGGTGATAGTAGAGTAGATTTTCTGGTTTGAGATCCCGGTGGGTGATACCTAACCCATGTAAGTACTTCACCCCGTCTAAAACCATAGTAAGTACTTTTGTAGCGTCACGTTCTGTAAAGCTACCTTTAGCAATGATGCGATCGAAAAGTTCACCCCCTGTTGCTAGCTCCATGACCATATAGACCTTCTCTGGTGCCTCGAACACTTCCACTAGTTGAATTATATACACATGCTTAACCCGGCGTAACACGTTCAGTTCCGCTTCGTAGACTTCTTTTCCTTGGATTCTATCAATCATCTTGATAGCATACGGCTGCTTGGTGATACGATGTTCCACCCTGACCACTCGACTGAAACTACCTCGGCCGATGAGAGCTTTGATGTCGTACTTTGCCGTCACGCGCGGGTCGAACTTATCACGGTACTTTTTCACTTTCTTGTTCGTCCTCGGACCCTGTTCCGAATTATCGGTATCGACTTGCCGAAAAGCGGGGTCCTTGAATTTGAGATTGGTTTGTGTTGTGAGGTCTGCGTCATGTCGGTAGTTCCTGGTCTTCGCGTCTTGTCTGTAGACGGGCTCCACCAGGTGTGTGTTGGCGGGGGTTTCTGGCACCAACTTGGTGCTCATACAACCCATATCGTGGCGAAAGTGTACAAGTGTACTTGTGACATGCCTTTAAACAGGCGATATGCAGCACATGATGAAAAAACACAGGGGTTAAATCCACACAAACACACATAAAAGTTAATCTACCGAGAGCTGGAGGAGCTGGAGTTGTTCCTGCTGCACATGGATGCCTCACACACACACCTGTCGGCCTGCCCGTCTCGTCCGCGCCTGTAGATAGGGCCGCTTTTAGTCACACGCACGCCAACAAAATAAATAATCGCAAACGTTTTAAACAAAGATAATTCATGAATGTGACTATTAATATTGTAAACTTATTAGGAAATCGAAGTAAGATATGTGCGAAAACTATTTCCGGACTAGCGTACTTATCACAGGCAGTACTTGCTACCGGAACTTCTTTCTAATACGGTCAATGCAGGCACGTGACCTGCTGACGTCACATGTTGTTATAACAACACGGCTGGGGCCTGGGATAAGACCCCCTCCTCCTCGGGCCTGTCAGAGACTGGGGTAGGGCCCACTCCACATTAGCCAAAGACTGGGGTAGGGCCCCCTCCACATCAGCCTGTTTCAGACACCGGGGCAGGGGCTCCTCTACATCAGCCAGTGTCAAAGACGAGTCCGGCCTCCTTAAGGTCAGTCAGTGCCAAGCACTGGGTAAGTGACCTGACGGGACCCCTTGCTGTTTACCAAATATCAAACAACGGGGTGTCCGTGGCGAAGTGGTCAAGCCGTTTGCCTAACGCTCTGAAGGTCGTGAATTTGGTTCACGACTGCGCCCTTCAGTTCATGGGTGCAGTTTTTACAGAGATCACTAGGGATCATCACTGGACCTATGGAGTTCGTGCTTTGCGTGATGCTCTCGGCGGGCGGTTGGTCTTTCTGCGGAGAGAGACCGAGCCATACGGGGTAAAACCCGGTGCAATGAAGTCGATCCTCTTGACTTTAACATGTCAAGCATTTGTTCACAACTTTAGTGTTCACTCAGGTCTTTCCAGGACAGCCTGTATCAGAGACCGGACACTTGACCTCACTGTGGACAGCCAGCGGCACACGGGCAAGGGCCTCACAACTCCTCTTAGGTTACCCTGTGTCACACCCTGGATAAAAGACATGACTGGACGCTTTTCTGTTCGCCAAATGTGAAATACTGGGTTGACAACTTTTATAATAACACAGGACAATCAGTGTCAGAGACTGGGTACATTGCCTCATTGATGACAATCAGTGTCAGAGACTGGGTACATTGCCTCATTGGGGACAATCAGTGTCAGAGACTGGGTACATTGCCTCATTGGGGACAGTCAGTGTCAGAGACTGGATACATTGCCTCATTGGGGACAGTCAGTGTCAGAGACTGGGTACATTGCCTCATTGGGGACAATCAGTGTCAGAGACTGGGTACATTGCCTCATTGGGGACAATCAGTGTCAGAGACTGGGTACATTGCCTCATTGGGGGCAGTCAGTGTCAAAGACTGGATACATTGCCCCATTGGGGACAATCAGTGTCAGAGACCGGGTACATTACCTCATTGGGGACAATCAGTGTCAGAGACTGGGTACATTGCCTCATTGGGGACAATCAGTGTCAGAGACTGGGTACATTGCCTCATTGGGGACAATCAGTGTCAGAGACTGGGTACATTGCCTCATTGGGGACAATCAGTGCCAGAGACTGTGTACATTGCCTCATTGGGGACAATCAGTGTCAGAGACTGGATACATTGCCTCATTGGGGACAATCAGTGTCAGAGACTGGGTACATTGCCTCATTGGGGACAATCAGTGTCAGAGACTGGGTACATTGTCTCATTGGGGACAATCAGTGTCAGAGACTGGGTACATTGCCTCATTGGGGACAATCAGTGTCAGAGACTGGGTACATTGCCTCATTGGGGACAATCAGTGTCAGAGACTGGATACATTGCCTTATTGGGGACAATCAGTGCCAGAGACTGTGTACATTGCCTCATTGGGGACAATCAGTGCCAGAGACTGTGTACATTGCATCATTGGGGACAGTCAGTGTCAGAGACTGGATGCATTGCCTCACTGGGGACAATCAGGGTCAGAGACTGGGTACATTGTCTCATTGGGGACAATCAGGGTCAGAGACTGGGAACATTGCCTCATTGGGGACAGTCAGTGTCAGAGACTGGGTACATTGCCTCATTGGGGAAAATCAGTGTCAGAGACTGTACATTGCCTCATTGGGGACAATCAGGGCCAAGCTCATTGGGGAAAATCATGGTCAAGTTCATTGGGGACAATCAAAGGCAAGCCTTTTGCAAACAATCAGGGCCACGCTCATTGGGAACAAACAGGGCCACGCTCGTTGGGTAAAATCAGGGTCAAGCTCATTGGGGACAAATATGGCCAAGCTCATTGGGGACAATCAAGGTCAAGCTCATTGGTGACAAACAGGGCCAAGCTCATTGGGAACAATCAGGGCCAAGCTCATTGGGGACAATCAGGGTCAAGCTCACTGGAGACAATCAGGGCCAAACTCATTGGGGACAATCAGGACCAAGCTGGACCAGGGTTCCCTCCAGGACAGCTAGTGCTAGAGACTGGAAACTCGACCTTCTGGTGACAGCCAGCAACAAACTGAGCTAGGGTTCCTTCTAAGTCAGCTAGTTTTAGATTCTGTAGGCTGGGGCTCAGTCCAGGACATCCAGTGATAAGCTGGGTTCCCTCCAGGTAGAGGCGTAGCGAGGTGTGGGCTGCACTGGGAGGGGGTGCGCTGGGGGACAAAAAATATTTTCAACATAAACAATGTTTGTGAATGTGTTTGAGCCAAGGGTGACAGGACATTTTCCACACCTGATACCACCTGACCTTGCTAGACCATTGCCTCTATGACAACTAGTGTTTGACCCTGGGTACATAACATCACTGGGGACCTAAAACCCCACATTAAATAGAAAAGTTGAACAGAAAACTGCACAGAAATAGACTAACAAAGCAGGGGGGGGGGGGGGAATTAAAATTACAAGCATAACAACTGAATAAAAAAAATGGGGGGGGGGGATATCACCAATAAATATCTTCTGCATAGGCCAAGGACAGAACTGGATTACTCATCTGGTAAACAGCAAAAACTGTCCTTCCATCACGATAAAGGAAGCCAATATGGTGAAGCTGCTAGCCGCTCGCCTGTAGATCCAAAGGTCTTAGATTCAGTGCAAGGTGAAGCCGGATTTGTTATATTGTTTATATGACATTGGCTTCCAGGTGGACCCAGCCTTAAATGGATAAAGTACGGGCGGCTGGCGTGAGGCTGACCACATCACTCACTGAGTGCTGATTGGTCTATAAAATATATGTCTAGCCCTGTATGTTCAATACGGGTTTCGGAGAGAGGGACAGACAGACAGACAGACAGACACAGACAGACAGACAGACAGGTAGACATAAGAGAGAGAGAGAGAGGGAGAGAGAGACACACACACAGCGAGAGAGAGAGAGAGAGAGAGAGAGAGAGAGAGAGAGAGAGAGAGAGAGAGAGAGAGAGAGGGGAGGAGGGGGGAATAACAATGAAAATACAAAGCTGGAAATACGAACTGTCCTTACACTGTTGCTTCCCTTGGCTGTTTTCTTGAAGTATTACTTCGGTGTTGTAGCTCATACCAACAGGTGTCATTATAGACAAACGCAAAAATCACTCATGGCGTGCTCCTGCCATAATGTACATATCTGTCTGTTTGCCTGGTCCCCCTTCTGATCTGCTGCTTAACTGATTTGAACACCCCTGCGACTAAAAGAGTCATATTTAAGAAGACAAAGCAAGAGGACGAATCCCGGCTACCATTTGATGGCTGCACCAAATGATTACCTGGATTCAGATAGGATCTGCGTGTATTGATCTTTCGGATAAATGTTCTACCCAGTAGACTGATAAACACTGTTTTGGGAATATACATCATAGTATACCTGTTACACACATGGGTCAGGGCTATTCAATTAGGTCAACTCAAGTGCGAGACTTGTGAAAGAGAAGTTCGTCACAGATCAAAGGACTGAGCCTCATCATTTAAAAAATAATCATGAACGCAATACAGCTTGCAATAATGAATGTTGGGCAACTTGCTAGGCCTCCACGGACCGCCGGTTGAATAGCCCTGCCATCGATGTTCCGTCTCTCGCCGGAATCATCTTTTTGTGTAGAGGCTGGCTGTTCCAACAACACACTAGTTGTACACATTTCGTAGCCTTTGTTTCGTAAAACTCATGGCCAAGGGTTATTTATTGAAAGTAAAGAATGAGACGCTCTACTGAGTAGCAAATACACAAGTGATCAGTTTTTACAGCATTACCCCTCATCACAACATTGTTTGCATGTATCAACAATAGTACAGACTGCAGTAATGACAAAAGACAGTCATGTCATGATAACAGATGGAGTGCTGTAATGAAAAAGGACACAGTGCTGCAAGGTAAAAGACAGGGCTTACTTGAATGGGGGTGTGTAGTGTCAGTCACAATCAGTCGGTGGTTCCCCTTACGAGGCTTTCAACAGCTGCAATCAACGCTTAGTGTATCTGACCAGGTCGTGAGCAGTCTCACAAAAATCACGCCGTTCTGAAACTTTCCACTCCATTCAGACACTGGCTATACATATAGTCCGTTTTATAATTCATGCTGTGGTATTTTCGATACATTCTTTGTAATTACTTAACATGGTAACCCTCTTCTCTAAATATTGGTATATGTAGAAAGAATTAACTCTTCTCTACCCCATATTAAGAATGTCAGCTTATCTGAAATACTCTGCCAGAAAAGGATGGATAGCAAAAAAAAAAAAAAAAAAAAATAATAATAATCGCATTAAATAACAATTCTGGAACTGGCATGACAAGTATTGAAACTGCAACCGCTGCTAAAGATGAGGACACAGCACATATATGATTTTGTCTGTGAACTAGACTATGCTCGGTAGACCGTTCATCTACTGCTCTGATCAGACAGATCTAACGAACCATGAATATCTGCTCTCACACATTGTGATCTTTCTACTTTCGGTTAGTTTGTCAGTTCCCTTTTGGTTTCATTGTTAATACTTCCTTGTTTTAACAATGACGAGAACTGCTAATTATTTTACGGACCAGAGAGGGACAGCATAAACAAACTCAACAGGAAAGAACAAACAGCAATTTTTAGACTTTGGACTGGACACTGTGGTCTTCGAGCACACCTGTACAGGATAGGCATAAAAGAATCTGCTGCCTGTGATTGTGGAGCAGAAAGACAGAACCCTGAGCACATACTACAGTACTGCCCTTACCTCTCCCAGCAAAGACTGTGGATCTGACCCAAGGGAGTCACATTGTAAGAGAAGCTATGGGAGACCGGTGGCGACCTTAAACGCACGATCCTATTTGTGACCCAGACGGGACTCAATGTTTAGCATGACTGATGTCGAACGCAGAAGAAGAAGAAAAAACTGCTAATTACAAGTCCCGTTAGCTTGTCTTCTGAGAACTGTGTTTGACTTTAAAAAAAATTAGATATATCGTCATTTTTAGTGGCCTATGACATGTATCCGAAAATTTTTTTTTTTTCGCCAGTGAAGTTTTTGCTCAAGACTTGTTGCAACATATCAGCTAATGTGGTCGTAACAATTTGTTATGCCTATTGACAAAAAATGCGAACGAACAAATCTACTCACAGACGACAAAACCGGAAATTGAGCCAACTTCCGTCCCGGGCAAACTTTCGAGATGCCAACAGCCTACAACCAGTAATGTCAGTCCTGTCTTCCCTGCATAAGGAGGCAAGTTATGTGTAAAATTAAGTCTGCGTGCTGCCTAACTGTGAAACACTAGTTCTTTTCTCACATCTCCACGTCAGCTGCCAGTGAATCTTGGTCCTGGAGCAGCATTTAATCATTTATTGGTTGGCCTTTTTATTTTTAATTTCTGAGTCTGAACCCACCCCTCCCCTTCTTTTCCAATCTCCCACGACTGCTGGTACAGTTAATTATTAATAACTTTAAAATAAATACTAGACTAAACGAAATGGAACAACATCGTCTGCACTAGTCTCTGCCACATTTGCTAGCAGATGGATTTATTTAATATTTTGAGTTTTTTAAATGATCCGTTCAGCTTCAAGTGTTGCGTGATGGAGACATACCGTTTTGACTCGTGTCTATTATGTACAAGTAGCAGGAATCACGTACACTCGCACCACCCACACAGCACCATTTTGGGTTGATTTGTTAAATATAACAACTGATCAGTTAGACGCTTGATGCAAATATGGATGTAAATAATCACTTTCTGGGTTAATGCTTTGTTTGACTTCTGGATGCCAGGTGGCAATGTACTAGTGACTGGTGTAAACTTCTTATTTTCTTTGCGTTCACCAGCTGTACACTCTGGCGGAAAGTTCTGGTTGCTCGTCCACTACTGAACTGCAGTCCAGCTCCAGAACCTGAGTGTTGCGTGTGCATCAGTTTTACAGATCTCATTCTCTTGAATACAGACTATTGGTTCCTTGCCTCTCCGGCAATGCACTCCGACTTAAAAGGAAGCTCCCCAATTAGTCGACTCTTACGACATGCTTTTGGGGAGGCAGTGGGTCTATTCCTGTTTTCCCCACAATGGGGCCCCAGAACCCACACGGGGGACTGGTGTAATGACAAGCCCAGCCGTGTACAGTACAGAGCTGATATCATCAATGCCGTACGGATTAGGTTGGGAGATAATGGTGAATCTCTGACGCTAACACGACTTCATGACCAAGAAGTTAAGCTTGGTGACTATGCCATCTTAGAGGTCAAGACAGGAGATACTATAACCAACTCCTCATGGAAACAATAAGCAGAGGAACCTTGAAGTGGCCGCTGCATCAGAGGACTGAGCACGCGTGGGGATGCCCAATGTGCACAGACGTCGATTGTGATAACATAACAGAATCAAGCAGCACTTTTGATCTTTGTTCTTTAATTGTTCATTAACGTATATGTGTTTGTATGTGTGTATGTGCATGTATATGATGGTTCATGACATAAGTTCAGAAATTTGTGTTTATTTTTCCAAAATCATACAATTTCTGCATATTTTTACATTTGCTCTCACAACTCGACTTCCACAAATGCTTGACGGAATAGGAACAGCACAACACAGTATGTCATCGCTGGACGTTGGAGTAGTGGGTGCAGGCATTGTGGGCCTGTCCGCAGCCATTAACATCCAGAGGCTGATACGCAGGGTGAAGGTCACTGTTGTGGCAGACAACTTTGGTCGGGACACTGCTACGCCAGTGACCCCGTGCATCTTTCTGCCGATACCGTCGTGCATCAGGGGCGTAGATTCTACTAAAGCCAGGTCAGTTGCTCTTATTTGTCCAATTCTCGTTCACATAGTGTCTTAAAAAGGGTTCCAGTAGTCACTGTAATGCGTCAGCACTAAAAAAGCACACACAAAAACTGATGCCTACAAAATATGCGTGAAGCCAGAAAAAAGCCCTGGTTGTGAGGCCCCTGTCTTATCTAGGTTGAGGCTGTCATCTGAAAGCCACTAGATTGGTTTTTCCACTCTTAGCTGTGACAATCAAAGGCTGGTAGATTGAGGATTGGATCGGGAAATAGAGTCCCTCATTTTACAGCCACGGTCACTCTTAAATGAATGAATATGTTATCTGATACTTCTACAACCGTATTCATGGCAAAATGGTTAGGGTGTTTACCTCATACCATGAAAATTGCGTGTTTATTTTTTTCACAAGTGCAATTTTTATGGAGATCGATAAGGGGATTGTCCCTGCAGCTACGGAGTTCATGCTTATGTGAGGCACTGTTGGCAGGTGGCTCACCATTCTGCTGAGCAAGTCCAAGCCATTTGGAATAAAACCTGGTGCAATGAAGTTTAACCCTTATCCTTTTTCAGTCTTGGCAGTCACCTCGATAGAAAGAAGGGCAGACAAGCAAGATGGGATGTGGATGTGATCAGTAGCACAGCTTCAGCAGTCACTCACCAGCTAGCTTGAGCAGGAAACTCTCCAGCTTACAGGAAAGCTGCTTGAACAAATAACTCACATCTTCCCTATGTGGGTTCCAGGGCCCCATAGGAAAAAATAATCCACACAATGTCTCTAAAAGAAGTATGTCATAAAAATAATTTATTTAGGATGATTATTTTAAAGTCGGAGTGCATCATCTAAGAGGTGAGGAACTAAGAGTCTGCATACAAATAATACAGATCTGTAAAATGGATGTGTATGGAAAACTCATGTTCTGCTACAAGAACAAAGTCTAGAAGAGGGCAAACAGCCAGAACTTTCCACCTCAGTTTACTGCCGGTGAAGGAGAAGAAGAAATACAAGATCTAGATCTCACTGGCGTTGAACCTAGAGCAGCTGGGCTTGCTGTTGGGGCACTACATCTTTCCCATTTCTCACTTAGACACTGGTAGTAATTGTCTTTGATTTCCACAGTTAGCTAGTTCATTCAGAACTTCTGAATGGTTTCTTCAGCTCATTGGTTGTCCTTTTTTTCCCTGCAGTGAATGGCTGACCGACAGCTGGACACATCATTACCAGATGGCCAACTCCCCAGAGGGCAAAGAGTCTGGTCAGTCTTTTATGAGTGGACACTATCTCTGGTCACATCTGCCAGATAGACCAAACAAGATTATGCCTACATTAGTGAAAGAGTACCACTTGCTTGATGAGCAAGAGAAGGAGGCGCTTCACTTCACGTACAGGTACACATGTACAACAGACTTAACTTCACCTACAGGTACACATATGCAACATCGTTTAACTTCACCTATGGGTTCACATATACAACAGAGCTTATCTTCACCCTTGTGTACATATATAGAACAGATGTTATCGTCGTCTAATGGTTACAAATATAAAACAGAACTTAGCTTCAGCCTTTGGTACATTTACAACAGACCTTATTTTCAACCATGGGTATTTATGTACAACAGAGCTGAGCTTTGCCCGTGGGTACTTATGTACAACAGAGCTTAGCTTTGCCCATGGGTACATATGTACAACAGAGCTTAGCTTTGCCCATGGGTACTTATGTACAACAGAGCTTAGCTTTGTCCATTAATTACATATGTACAACAGCTTTATCTACTGCTGCATTTACAACAGAGCTTTGCTTCACCCACTGGTACATTTACAAAAGAATTTAGCTTCACCCATTTGTACATACGTGCAACAGAGCTTAGCTTCACCCGGTGGTTTCATATGTACAACAGAGCTTAGCTTCACCCACTGGTACATTTACAACAGAATTTAGCTTCGCCCATGAATACATATGTACAAGAGACCTTATCTTCGTCTATAGGTACATTTGTACAAAATATCTTATTTTCGTCCAGTGGTTACATATGTACAACAAATCTTAACTTCACCCATGGGTACATCTGTATAACAAAGCTTAGCTCTGCCCATGGGTACATATGTACAACAGAGCTTAGCTTCACCCTTTTGTACATATGTATAACATTGACTTCACCTATGGGTACATATGTACAACACAGCTTAGCTTCGCCCACTGGTACATTTACAAGAGCTTATCATCACCCATATGGGCTTATCTGCAGCAGAGCTTATTTTCGTCTAATGATTACATATGTACAACAGAGCTTAGCTTCGCCCATGGGTACATATGTACAATAGAGCTTAGCTTCACCCATTGGCACATTTACAAAAGAGCTTATCTTCACCCAGTGGTGCATGTGTACAACAGAGCTTAGCCACCCCTATGAGTACGTATGTACAACAGAGCTTAGCCACCCCTATGAGTACGTATGTACAACACAGCTTAGCTTTCCCTATTAATACGCATGTTAAACACGGCTGAGCTCTGAAATGACAGGAATCTTCTTATGGATGGCAATCCACTAAGGTAACTCCCAGGAATCCTTTTCAACCTCAAAAGAAGTAATAATTGTTGTCAGTTTTTTGTTGTTTTTGTTTTAATAAAAAAAAAAGTGCCAGTACCAATCAGAAAGTGTCTTAAAGTAAAGGATCACTTCCCAAGCCTTGTAGGACAAATTGGGAATATAAGGCCATACCTTTATTTCATAGACCAATTGGCACTTGGTGGGTGATTTGGTCAACACCACATCGGCCAGTTTTTCTTCCCAAGACTTTACCTGGTGCCATTTTGATGCTTGGTCGCCCTGGGAGCCGGGGTCATTTTATGTGAAAAGTCAGGCTTCATCAGGAACTGAACCCACAATTTTCAGATTCGCAGGTGAGCATCTAGCCGCTAAGACTATGGCGACCCCCGAGACTACTGAAGTGGATTACTGATTGTTGTTTACCCCTAAACAACAAACTACTGAAGTGGATTACTGATTGTCATTTATCCCTAAACAACAAACTATTGAAGTGGATTACTGATTGTTGTTTACCCCTAAACAACAAACTATTGAAGTGGATTACTGATTGTTGTTTACCCCTAAACAACAAACTATTGAAGTGGATTACTGATTGTTGTTTACCCCTAAACAACAAACTATTGAAGTGGATTACTGATTGTTGTTTACCCCTAAACAACAAACTATTGAAGTGGATTACTGATTGTTGTTTACCCCTAAACAACAAACTATTGAAGTGGATTACTGATTGTTGTGTTACTCCTAAACAACAAACTATTGAAGTGGATTACTGATTGTTGTTTACCCCTAAACAACAAACTATTGAAGTAGATTACTGATTAACGTTTATCCCTAAACAACAAACTATTGAAGTGGATTACTGATTGTTGTTTACCCCTAAACAACAAACTATTGAAGTGGATTACTGATTGTTGTTTACCCCTAAACAACAAACTATTGAAGTGGATAACTGATTGTTGTTTACCCCTAAACAACAAACTATTGAAGTGGATTACTGATTGTTGTTTACCCCTAAACAACAAACTATTGAAGTGGATTACTGATTGTTGTTTACCCCTAAACAACAAACTATTGAAGTGGATTACTGATTGTTGTTTTTACCCCTAAACAACAAACTATTGAAGTGGATATTGAAGTGGATTACTGATTGTTGTTTACCCCTAAACAAACAAACTATTGTGGAGTAACTGGATAAAACTGATTGTTGTTTACCCCTAAACAACAAACTATTGAAGTGGATAACTGATTGTTGTTTACCCCTAAACAACAAACTATTGAAGTGGATAACTGATTGTTGTTTACCCCTAAACAACAAACTATTGAAGTGGATAACTGATTGTTGTTTACCCTTACCCCTAAACAACAAACTATTGAAGTGGATTACTGATTGTTGTTTACCCCTAAACAACAAACTATTGAAGTGGATTACTGATTGTTGTTTACCCCTAATCAACAAACTATTGAAGTGGATAACTGATTGTTGTTTACCCCTAAACAACAAACTATTGAAGTGGATAACTGATTGTTGTTTACCCCTAAACAACAAACTATTGAAGTGGATTACTGATTTTGTTTACCCCTAAACAACAACTAAACTATTGAAGTGGATAAACAACTGATTGGATTGTTGTTGTTTACCCTAAACAACAAACTATTGAAGTGGATTACTGATTGTTGTTTATTAAACAACAAACTAACTTTGAAGTGGATTACTGATTGTTGTTACCCCCCTAAACAACAAACTATTGAAGTGGATTACTGATTGTTGTTTACCCCTAAACAACAAACTATTGAAGTGGATAACTGATTGTTGTTTACCCCTAAACAACAAACTATTGAAGTGGATAACTGATTGTTGTTTACCCCTAAACAACAAACTATTGAAGTGGATAACTGATTGTTGTTTACCCCTAAACAACAAACTATTGAAGTGGATTACTGATTGTTGTTTACCCCTAAACAACAAACTATTGAAGTGGATTACTGATTGTTGTTTACCCCTAATCAACAAACTACTGAAGTGGATAACTGATTGTTGTTTACCCCCTAAACAACAAACTACTGAAGTGGATAACTGATTGTTGTTTACCCCTAAACAACAAACTATTGAAGTGGATAACTGATTGTTGTTTACCCCTAAACAACAAACTAAGTGGATAACTGATTGTTGTTTACCCTAAACAACAAAAACTAAGTGTGGATAACTGATTGTTGTTTACCCCTAAACAACAAACTACTGAAGTGGAATACTGATTGTTGTTTACACCTAAACAAACTATTTAAGTGGATTACTGATTGTTGTTTACCCCTAAACAACAAACTATTGAAGTGGATTACTGATTGTTGTGTTACTCCTAAACAACAAACTATTGAAGTGGATTACTGATTGTTGTTTACCCCTAAACAACAAACTATTGAAGTTGTTGTTTTTGATTGTTGTTTACCCTAAACAACAAACTATGAAGTGGATAATGATTGTTGTTTTTACCCTAAACAACAAACTATTGAAGTGGATTACTGATTGTTGTTTTGTTGTTTCCCTAAACAACAAACTATTGAAGTGGATTACTGATTGTTGTTTATCCCTAAACAACAAACTATTGAAGTGGATAACTGATTGTTGTTTACCCCTAAACAACAAACTATTGAAGTGGATAACTGATTGTTGTTTACCCCTAAACAACAAACTATTGAAGTGGATTACTGATTGTTGTTTTTACCCCTAAACAACAAACTATTGAAGTGGATTACTGATTGTTTGTTTACCCCTAAACAACAAACTATTGAAGTGGATAACGGATTGTTGTTTACCCCTAAACAACAAACTATTGAAGTGGATTACTGATTGTTGTTTACCCCTAAACAACAAACTATTGAAGTGGATGATTGTTGTTTAAACCCTGATTGTTGTTTACCCCTAAACAACAAACTATTGAAGTGGATAACTGATTGTTGTTTACCCCCCTAAACAACAAACTATTGAAGTGGATAACTGATTGTTGTTTACCCCTATTACTGATTGTTGTTTTACCCCTAAACAACAAACTATTGAAGTGGATTACTGATTGTTGTTTACCCCCCTAAACAACAAACTATTGAAGTGGATAACTGATTGTTGTTTACCCCTAAACAACAAACTATTGAAGTGGATAACTGATTGTTGTTTTACCCCTAAACAACAAACTATTGAAGTGAAGTGGATTACCCCCCTAAACAACAAACTATTGAAGTGGATTACTGATTGTTGTTTACCCCTAAACAACAAACTATTGAAGTGGATAACTGACTGATTGTTGTTTTTACCCCTAAACAACAAACTATTGAAGTGGATAACTGATTGTTGTTTACCCCTAAACAACAAACTATTGAAGTGGATTACTGATTGTTGTTTACCCCAACAAACTAAAGTGATTACTGATTGTTGTTTACAAACAAAAACTATTGAAGTGTTGTTTATAAACAACAAACTATTGATTGTGTGTTTACCCCTAAACAACAAACTATTGAAGTGGATTACTGATTTGTTGTTTACCCCTAAACAACAACCCCTAAACAACAGTGGAAGTGGATACTGATTGTTGTTTACCCCTAAACAACAAACTATTGAAGTGGATTACTGATTGTTGTTTACCCCTAAACAACAAACTATTGAAGTGGATTACTGATTGTTGTTTACCCCTAAACAACAAACTATTGAAGTGGATAACTGATTGTTGTTTACCCCTAAACAACAAACTATTGAAGTGGATAACTGATTGTTGTTTACCCCTAAACAACAAACTATTGAAGTGGATAACTGATTGTTGTTTACACCTAAAAACAACAAACTATTGAAGTGGATTACTGATTGTTGTTTACCCCTAAACAACAAACTATTGAAGTGGATAACTGATTGTTGTTTACCCCTAAACAACAAACTATTGAAGTGGATAACTGATTGTTGTTTACCCCTAAACAACAAACTATTGAAGTGGATTACTGATTGTTGTTTACCCCTAAACAACAAACTATTGAAGTGGATTAGATTGTTGTTTATAAACAACAAACTGAAGTGGATGATTGTTGTTTACCCCTAAACAACAAACTATTGAAGTGGATAACTGATTGTTGTTTACCCCTAAACAACAAACTATTGAAGTGGATAACTGATTGTTGTTTACCCCTAAAAACAAACTAAAGTGGATAACTGATTGTTGTTTACTAAACAACAAACTTGAAGTGGATTACTGATTGTTGTTTTACCCCTAAACAACAAACTATTACTGATTGTTGTTTTACCCCTAACAAACAAACTATTGAATGGATAACTGATTGTTGTTTACCCCTAAACAACAAACTATTGAAGTGGATAACTGATTGTTGTTTACCCCTAAACAACAAACTACTGAAGTAGATAACTGATTGTTGTTTTCCCCTAAACAACAAACTATTGAAGTGGATAACTGATTGTTGTTTACCCCTAAACAACAAACTACTGAAGTGGAATACTGATTGTTGTTTACACCTAAACAAACTATTTAAGTGGATTACTGATTGTTGTTTACCCCTAAACAACAAACTACTGAAGTGGATAACGGATTGTTGTTTACCCCTAAACAACAAACTATTGAAGTGGATTACTGATTGTTGTTTACCCCTAAACAACAAACTATTGAAGTGGATAACTGATTGTTGTTTACCCCTAAACAACAAACTACTGAAGTAGATAACTGATTGTTGTTTTCCCCTAAACAACAAACTATTGAAGTGGATTACTGATTGTTGTTTACCCCTAAACAACAAACTATTGAAGTGGATTACTGATTGTTGTTTACCCCTAAACAACAAACTACTGAAGTGGATAACTGATTGTTGTTTACCCCTAAACAACAAACTATTTAAGTGGATTACTGATTGTTGTTTACCCCTAACCAACAAACTACTGAAGTGGATTACTGATTGTTTACTGAAGTGGATAACCCCTAAACAACAAACTATTTAAGTGGATTACCGATTGTTGTTTACCCCTAACCAACAAACTACTGAAGTGGATTACTGATTAACGTTTATCCCTAAACAACAAACTACTGAAGTGGATAACGGATTGTTGTTTACCCCTAAACAACAAACTACTGAAGTGGATTACTGATTGTTGTTTACCCCTAACCAACAAACTACTGAAGTGGATTACTGATTGTTGTTAATTTGTGTCATGCTTTGAAGTAAAATGGTTGATGGCTTAGAATACCAGACTATCGCATTGTGAGTGCGGATTCATAGACCAGACATAAGTTACCGACTCACAAATCCTAGACTAAACAATCTTTGACCTAAACAATTCTATCCTTAGTCAAGAATGCTGCGTCTCTTTTACAATCCTAGACCTAGTCAACAGTCCTAAACTTACTCAACAGAGACTTACTGAACAATACTAGATCTACTCAACAGTCCTAGACTTACTCAACAGAGACTTACTGAACAATACTAGATCTACTCAACAGTCCTAGACTTACTTAACAGAGACTTACTGAACAATACTAGATCTATTCAACAGTCCTAGACTTACTCAACAATGACAGACTTATGCAACAATCCTAGGCCTACTAAACAGTCCTAACAATCCTACTCAACAATCCTAAACATATTCAAGAATCCTAGACCTACTCAACAATCCTAGACTTAGTTAGCAATTCTAGACCTAATCAACAATTCTATATTTACGTAACAGTCTTAGACTTACTCAACAATCCTAGATCTCCTCAACAATCCTAGACCTCCTAAACATCCTATATTTACTTAAAAATCATAGACCTACCAAACAATCCTATATTTACTCAAACAATCCTATACCTATTCAACATTCCTAAACTTACTCATCAATACTAGATGTATTCAACAACCCTAGATCTCCTGAACAATCCTAGACCTCTTCAACAGTCCTAGACCTCATCAGCAATCATAGACTCACTTAACAATCATAGACTTACTCAACAATCACATATTTACTCAAAAATCCTAGACTTACTCAACAGTTGTGTTCAATCATAAATTTACTCAGCAATCCTAGACTTACTCAACAATCCCAGACTTTCTCAATAATCATAGACTTAACAGATCTTGTGTATGTTGAATTAAAAATCGATATCATAGCACTGAGGACGCTCCCATATGTTCTCCGTCCCCATCTTCAGCAGAAAACGAGGAGTTCCAATTCCAGTAGTACCAGTAACTGTCTGACAGTATATCCATCTCACCTTTCCCTTGAGTGTAAAGCGTCGGGCAGATCCCTTGGTAACTCCCCACAACTCCGTTCTCCTCAGATCATAATGATCTATTTGTGCCTCCGCACTGTTCACTCGCCACAAAGGGCGCCACAACATCTAGCTTGTGATTGTGAATGCTATGATTGTTTTCTTGTACCAAATAGGCATGCCTGCAGGATAACAACCGTTGTGATCGATCCGATTAAATACATGCAGTGGTTAATGAAGGAGTAAGTATCAAAGTGCTGAATTGTGAGGATCAAAGTGTTATATTGTGAGTATCAAAGTACTGTATTGTATCAAAGTGCTGTATTGTGAGTATCAAAGTGCTGTATTCAATGTTGCTATCACATCAGTTTTCTCAGTGCTTTATTATTTGAAGGCTGACATAGCTAGGACACACGCTGATGGTAGTAGAGTCTACACGAACATCCTCTATGGGGAATCCAACAGTTGCGGTTACAGTCGAGAGGATTGACTTCCTTGCATCAGGTTTTATCCACTATAGCTCGGCCTGTCTCCACAGATTGGCTAACCACATGCCAAGAGCGTCACACAAAACACAAACACAGTAGCTCTGGCTAAGACCTACAGGTGTCTCCATGAAATTTGCTCTTGAAAATTGCTAAACAATGCATACGTGAGACGAACCCATGGCCTTCAGATCACAAGGCAAACAGCTTGACCATTTTATCACGGAGGCCCCAAATATGGTGGGGGGGGGGGGGAATAATTTGTTGAGGCTGGCATCTATTATGATATAGAGATTTACCCTAGTAGGACATGAATGATACAGGTATTGAGATGAAGCGGGATACCATAGACTTTTGCATAAAGTTTATGTCTGTTTTCTGTGTTGTTTATCTGTTGTAATCATTTTCCTCAGATATACTGTTTGTTTTTATTTCTCCTATTTGCAATTGTATATTTTGGCTGACTTTTGTCCTGTGTTACAGTATAAAGACAACGTTGCTTGAACACACAGGTACCACATCAGGTGTTTGTGTATTTTGTCCCTGTTTTTTTTTTTTTTTTTTACATCTAAACAGCTGCCTTATGCATTTTTGTTTTGCTTGTGCAAGCTTCAAGATTTTGCTGGGACTGACAAGCTTTTCACTAGTTTTCAAACTCAACGGTAAAGGAAATTTTGTGTGAATGGAGCGGTTATGGGGGCAGCCCATCTGCAATGATGACTAACTTCGACAGCTTATTATTAAATGCATTTTAATGAAACTGATCTGTATACTCATGCAGGTTTCGCCAGAGGGGTGGCCAGGTTGTCAGTGATACAGCATATTCCTTGCAGCAGGTAAGCCTGCTGTTGTAGTTTTCATATTTCATTGTGCTATTTTATACAGGTTATGCCGGTGTTTTGGGAAATGAACAAGCAGAGAGACTGGCTACATCACTGCATGACAAGCTAGATGGTTGAATTCAGCCTTAAATAACTTGCGTGATGTTGATGGCATCATCCATTGAGTGCTGACTAGTCTGTTCAAAACTAGAACAACATGTCAGTTGCACAAGTGGCTTGGAAAGGGTTCCAGGTTTGTACTTATTTAAACTTATTGTATGCTCTGATGCTTTTCTTGTCCTTCCTTAGATCTCTGTCCGCGTGCACGCGCTTGGTCATGAGTGTATTTATGACAATATTTACTGTATTTTTCTGTGTATAAGACGCCCCCGTGTATTAGGTGACACTTGTTTTTTTTTTTAGCCCAAAATAATAAATACATATTGTAATCACATTCCTTGTATAGGACGACCTCCAATTTTAAACTTCAGATATTAAAGTACACACGGAAATATGTGTGCATAAAAAATATATATATATATACACACACACACATATATATATATATATATATATATATATATATATATATATATATATATATATATATATATATGTGTGTGTGTGTGTGTGTGTGTGAGTAAATATACACACACACACATATATATATATATATATATATGTGTGTGTGTATTTATATATACACACATATATGTATGCCTGTGTATATATATGTGTGTGTGTATATATAAATATATATATGTGTGTGAATATATATGTGTTTGTGTGTATATTTTTATATGTATGTATTTATGCAACCATAATTTATCAGTATTTTTTAGGCACATATAATGTCTGCCTACATGTAAAGGTAAAGATATATATGTGTGTGTGTGTATATATATGTGTGTGTGTGTGTGTATATATATATATATATGTAACAGCATCCTTTCTCGAAAGCTGAAATATTTTGGTCATATCAAGCGCCACGACGGATTGGAAAAAATTATAGCAGAAGGCATGGTACCAGGAAGGAGGGGCACAGGCCGACCGACACGAAGATGGACACAGGATATATGTGACTCCTTGAGTGTGAAAGTTCATGAGGTGGGAGAACTGGCAAGAGACCGAGTTTCTAACAGGCAGACTGTGATGAGAGCGACGTTCTGCAAAGGACCTGCTACATGATGATGATATATATATGTACATATATACACACACACACACACGCATGCACGCACGTACGTACGTATATACACGTATATACACACACTTATAACTTTACATTTACTTGTAGGCAGACATTATATGTGTCTGCATAAAATTGATAAATGATGGTTGCAAAGATATATCAACTTTCTGCCAGCTTTATGGACAGTTTGATGTTGTGGTCAACTGTGTAGGCACTCGAGGGAGGGAGACAGTTCAAGATCCCTATCTAGTGCCGGTCAAAGGTTATGTTGTCCAGGTAAAACATATCTACTCTTAGTTCATTTGTATGTCATTAGTTCACTTGTATGTAAGTAGTTCAATTGTATGTCAGTAGTTCGCTTGTATGTCATTAGTTCACCTGTATGTAAGTAGTATTTGTGTGTTAGTAGTTCACTTGTACGTTAGTAGTTCACTTGTATTTCAATAGTTCACTTGCATGTCAGTAGCTAACCTAGTGGCTGTAGTTCACTTCTATGTCAGTAGTTCACTTGTATGTCATTAGTTCACATTTATGACAGTAAATCTCAAACAGTGGGGCTAAAGATGATAAATTATGTAGAAACATGTTCACACAACTATTGTGCTGATAACAACTGTAGGTAAAGCCTACACTTTAAACATTGAATTTCAATTTTTTACTGACAATGTCATGAATATGGTCTCATTCACCATTTTATTGCAACATTAAGTCTCTCAATACAAGTTTTCTCAGGCAATACCAGATTTATAAAATATTTATGGTGCAAAATCATGAAAATGTTACTTTTAAATTGGCAATTTACATAGTTTTAATGACCAGATTTCTCTAGTATGTTTTACCCAAATGATAAAAGTAAGAAACACATTATTCTTTGGAGGGATATCAATGGGTAACATGAAGTCTGTGCCTGCAGGTGCATCGTTCCACCTGGGAATCACTTTCTTTGAATTTTATTCTCTTCTGTTGAATCTTTATTTAGAAGATATGGAGTCGTGAGCCAATGATATAGCTTTCTCTCGGAATTTCAGTGGTAGTACTGTTTGTTTTATGATGCGTCCTCTTTTTGAATAAATTCTCGATAAAATTCCTTTGTCTACTTTGAACTTCCATTCTGCATTTTTTGTTTTTCTCGGTTCTCGTTTTGTTGCTTCAAAGCATTGTGTTAGAGTTAAATCATTTTTCTGCTCCTGGTAAAATTTTTTTCTAGTATTTTCATCTTCTGTAGTTATTGGTATTTGTTCTTTGTGCATGCTTACGGAGTGTTCTTGAGTTTGTTGATTTTTTGTTACACTCCTTGTGACTGCTGCTACATTTTCTATTTCCTGCAGATTTACACTGTCAACAGATCCACATGCTTTCGTCATTCTCCATTCATCTTCACAGCTTCAGATGCACTTCCTTCCAGTCTGGGGCCCAGTCACAGAATGACCGCCTGATTCTCAATCCCCCAGATCTCACCATTCACACGTGACTCACTCTTTCCTGTCGTTTCACCATATCTCCGTGAAACCCATGCTCTCAGGGACTTCCCCAATTATGCCAATCATCCCCTGACGTTATCCCTATTTATAGCATCATTGCAGGCATAAACATGCTTACTTGGAGATAGACTTGGGGACAGTCAAAGGATGAGGTGGGACATAAACGTGAGGCATAAACCTAAGGTTATCGAGGTAGACTCTAGGGATAGTCAAAGACAGGGTAAAAAGTCTTATGGAAACTAAGTATATATTAATTTACAGTGTTGATGAAACAGAGCAGTGTAAAACCTTTTAAAGATGCAGTTGACTGAGCTGATGGCCTCCAGTGGGAACTGGTGCTGCTAAAGTATCTCTGACTACTTTCTTCTATGTTTCTTCTTTAGGTTGAGCACGAGTGTCCTAAGAACTTCCTCATCACTGATGATCCTATTACGGTCATACCTCAGTAAGTTATGATGTTATTAAAATAACATATTCATGTACATTTGTGATAGTCTTGTGGGCAAACCCTGAAGCTAACCATACTATCTTACAGCGGCCGCAACAGGTGGTAGTGTAAGGAAAAAAAGGGGGGAGGGGCCGCGGGCATAAGTAGCGAAATCAAAATATAGTTTAAATTTTTGATCCTGTTAGGGCCGACATTTCGAAGACTTGCATCTTACTGAGAAAATCTGTCGCCCGGGACTGATGCTGACCTTTAGTAAGGTTAAGGGATTATAGAAACTACAATATGTTATGTAGTGATATTGTTGATTTGTTACTAAGGGCATCATCACCGGAGCTATGGAGTTTGTGCTTTTTGTGGCACTGTCAGCATGCAGCTAGCCATTTGCAGTGATGCTGGTTTCTATATGTCTCCCATCTGTCCTGATAAAAAGTTAGTATGAACAGATGGACATATATATTGATAACACCTAAGTGTTCTGTAATTACAGTTAATTGATGTCCAATCAAAATGTCGTCCAGTCGTAGTCTTGTGTTCTCACTCATCGTATTCAGACTCCCACACGAGAACACTGTCACAGCTGGCACACAATTGAATAAAAACATTCAGTTACCTGCCGGTCCATACATTTCACATACGCTGAGATATTACCTCTGAATCAAGGTACCATGAACAATTGCTCAACGATACAAATCAGAATCATTCCTCTTCTGCCATTGCCATGCTTTCTATGTCCTCGGTCTTTTCTTTAGCAGTCACAGGTTCCTCAGTCACTCGATGCAGGCAACATTCCTCTCATACGGTCAAACACAAACTGACTCGATCTCTCTCTCTCTCTCTCTCTCTCTCTCTCTCTCTCTCTCTCTCTCTCTCTCTCTCTCTCTCTCTCTCTCTCCTTCAAACCTTTCTTCCGTTTCCACGGGTGGACACATTTAAAACGTTCAGTTAAACGCGGAATTTGCCATTTTCGCCCTCTTGTTTTCTACTCACATGACTTCCCCCTGGACCCTCATTTGTCATTTTGGGAACCATTTGAGAAATCCCTTCATTTTGCGGAGAGAGACTGAGCCATATGGAGTAAATTCCGGTACAAAGAAGTGGATTCTCTCACCTTTTAACCTTTACTTTATGAGAGTTAGTTGTGCAGCTGATGTCTGGTGGTTAGTTACTGTTTTGTTGTGTATGTCCAGTGCAGAGTCCAGTATTGTTGATGTGGGGCATATTTTGGAACCAGATGTGTTCAGCCAGGAGAAGAACATGGAGCTTGTGGAGCTGTTACTGAACAAAGTCAAAGCATTGGTGCCAAGTCTAATGGTAAAGTCATGTGATGTGTCCTGTATATCGCATTGTTCACTAGTTCCGAGGTCCCATTTGGTGGTGATGGTGGTGGAAAAGAGGGGGGTGGGGTGGAGAATAGACCCACTGCCTACCTTCTCATCAAGCAGAAAGTGATCATTTAGCGATGTCACCCTATAAATTAGAGCTTTTCTGACTTAGAAGTGAAGATGTAACAATCTGCATCATAGTTCAGGAGTGGATGGACAGCCAGATCTCTCCGCCAGAGTTTCATCATCATCATCATCAATTGCCTTGCCAGCTGGTGTAGGCGTACAGGCGCTTCCACAGATCTTGGTCTTTGGTGTACTGGATCATCTCCACTGATAATATCCCCCATGCCACTGTCATAATCGGTCCACCATGCTTTCTCTTGGTCTGCCTCTGCCTCTTCAACCAGTGTTGTTTCCAGTCATCACGATGTTCGCCAGAGTTTACAGCCGATTAATGATAAGATGAAAAAGAAGAGACTAGTTCTGGAGTGTGACACAATCAGGTGGAAAGTAGGGAGTCTTACACCTATTAAGGCAGCAATGTAGGTCAAGATGGATAAATGAGTTCAAAAAATGAATGTGTCTTCTTGTTTTTTCTGCTTAGTGGTAAACTCCAGTGGAAAGTCTTATTCTAAAACTGGAACTCTTCATGCACATCTGTTTTACAGATCAGGCTTTCTTGTATGCAGCCTGTTGGTTCCTCACCTCTCAGGCAGACGCGCTCCAACTTTGGAGGAAACATCCCTAATTAGTAGCCTTTTTGACCTGCTTGTTAGGGAGACAGTGAGTGTATTCTTTTCCCTGTCCCGAAAATGGGTAGAAAAGGAAAGAGTACACACAGGACAGAATAGGAAAGTCTTTACAAATGATAGAGAAGGAAATTGTACACACAGGACAGAATAGTAAAGTCTATACACAGGACAGAAAAGGGACATACGGGGGGGGGGGGGGGGGAATGAAGGCAGAGGACAAGAAAAGCATTAGTAGTACTAGACAGTTTAAGGAAGCTGAAGGAAATTAAACCTAGTGCAAAACTTAGAACAAACGAGAGAAAAAGAAAGAGAGAAAGAGAGACGAGTGAGTAACTTGGAGAGGAAGACATGGTGTCAGCTGCAGAAGATATTCAGCAAGTTATTATTCTGCGCCTTAGAACAAGACACAATCGACTTTGCAGCCCCATGTACACAAAATTTTTAATGAGATAATCCGCCAACATGCACATGTGGGTTGGTACCTGAGACAACAGATCATGTCCACCAAGGCTGTCCCAAATACAACATATCAAGGCAAAATTTCTGGCCAAGAGAAACACTGGTGCAAGCCAAACTTTACGGGTCATTGAGTGAATTTACACAAGACAGCAAAGTGAATACTAGAGACAATGTTGCAGATATAGATAATCTATTTCAAGCGAACGAAAAAAGAAAAAAAATAGATGACTTGGTGGCATTTGAGTGGTGATGTGGTGTGTCCTTGATGAACACAGAGCTGAAGAAGAAAAGAGTGAGCGTCAGGAAACTACCAGTGGAATGCTGACCACGTGAGTTTTTTGGGGAGTTTATTCTCTGAAGCAGTGGACCAGCCACCATATCTCCAACACTCTTTTAACTCTTTCAGCACCATGGAGCTCACCTTACGTTCATTGTCAACACTAAATACAGTACACACTTCTGGACTTTTCCTATCCCATTTCTCTGCTTTGAACATGATCCGGCGGGTCGCGCCAGGTTAGATATACAGACAGTGGATTGAGTCATTACAAAACTCTCCTATATGTGCAGTTACATTCATGTTTGTTCCCGGGTATGCGGGTATTGTTATCAATAAAAGAGTTGACAGATTGGCAGGCTCTGTTAGTTTTCACATTTCCAGCCTATGGATCACGCCAATATTCTCAGTGCATGTTTGTTCCCGGGTATGCGGGTATTGTTATCAATAAAAGAGTTGATAGATTGGCAGGCTCTGTTAGTTTTCACATTTCCAGCCTATGGATCACGCCAATATTCTCAGTGCATGTTTGTTCCCACCAGGGCTCAACTGTGATAGAGAGTTATGTCAGCCGAAGACCCTACCGATCACCTCCTCTGATCAAAATTGAAATGGTTCGATGTGGAGGCCCTGTTTTACCTGTAAGTTGTTGTCTGGATCACCTTGTGGACTAATAGCCTTTCTCCTACTATTCTGCTTGTAGAGTTTTCTTTTTTGTCTTATGTGTAGATTTCCTTTTCTATCCTATGTGTAGACTTTCCTATTCTATCCCATGTGTAGACTTTCCTTTTCTGTCCTGTACGTAGACTTTCCTTTTCTATCCTGTGTATAATTTTCTTTTCTCTTTGACCCTGTCTGTAAGGACTCTTTCCTCTTCTGCCATGTGTTTAGAAGCTCTTTATCCTTCTACCTAATGTGTAAGGACTTTTTTTTTCTATCCTGTCGATGAAGGTAATTTCCTTTTCTACTTGGTCAGTAGTGATAATTTCCATTTCTACCCTGTCAAAGATTGTTCTACCCTTTTAGTAAGGACTCTCATCTTCTACCTTGCTAGTAAAGACTCTCTCATCTTCTACCCTGTTAGTAAGGACTCTCTCATCTTCTACCCTGTTAGTAAGGACTCTCTCATCTTCTACCCTGTTAATAAGGACTCTCTCATCTTCTACCCTGTTAGTAAGGACTCTCTCATCTTCTACCCTGTTAGTAAGGACTCTCTCATCTTCTACCTTGTTAGTAAGGACTCTCTCATCTTCTACCTTGTTAGTAAGGACTCTCTCATCTTCTACCGTGTCTGTAGGGACTCTTTCCCTTCTATCCTGAAATAAAGAGCTATTAGTTTTCTGTCTGCTGGCATTGTGACCTTGTCGTGTTGATTAAGTTTAATGTAACTGATTATTATTTTCAACTTTTCAACTTTTGTCGTTAAGCTTTATGGAGAAGGACAGTGTGGAATCTATTGCTTGATGGGCAGCAATGACTATTGTTAGTTAGTTAGTTAGTTAGTTAGTTAGTTAGTTAGTTAGTTAGTTGGGTTATCCTCATTGCACTCCGGACATGTTCATAGGTGCTCAGATCCTCCCCTCAGTATGAACCCCAACGTCCGATGGCTAATAGTACCAGTTCTATGTTGATTAACAAGTCTTCTGGCGTAGCTGGTGTGCGTCTCGATTTTTGCTGTGCCGATCTTAATTCCCAAGTCTGACTATTGTTATTCCTTGTCAGTGTAGAAGCTCTTTAATTTCATCAGTCCATATACTACTAGGACGGCCTCTTTAATTTCACTTCAGATCTTTTCATGTGTAGCGCCCGCGCTGATAGTTGTTCTGGCTGCATTCTTACTAGATGGCCAAACCATTTGGCCTTCTGTTTCTCAGTGAATTTGCTACATGCTGTTGTTTCTACATTTTTTCTGATAATATAATTTATAACTTTGTCTCGGATGGTTAAGTGTGCGGCTTTTCTCTGGCATCTCTTTTCGCAAGTGTTAATTTTACGTAGGCTAGCCTTTGATAAAAAATCCATGTTTGGCACTGGTAGCACAGTGCTGGTGTGAATATGCTGTTTATAATCTGTTTCTTGGCACTCATGCTGATGTCTTAATTAACGGTCTCAGTTGGTTAATAAGCCACTGGCACGTTGGCATTTGTTTCTATTTCCCGATCTATCATTCCATCCTCCGATAATTTACTTCCAAGGTATTTAAATTCTTCAACTTGCTTCAGACAGGTACCCTTCAACACGTTAAGTAGCGGACTAGAAATTTAACTGACATGTAATTGATTGACTGGAATACACGACCATCTGTATGTAAGACTTGATTAAATCATATAATGGAATAATGTATGCATGTTGATGCCATCAGTTTTGCTCAGACCAGAAGAGGTCCTTACATTCTCTGTAAGTATTCTATTGTTGTTGGTGTCACTGCAAGGAATGACAACAAAGACTATGTATTTTCTTTTGGGTGTCATTAGGTCGTTCACAACATTGGT